TTCGATCAACCATAGTAAATCCTTGCGTGCGTACAAGTCCACCTAAAAATGGTGCAATGTCCATCGCGTCCGCGTTCTATTTGAGCCCGTGTTTCGCCCGGGTAGCGAGAAAAAAAGAGGTGAGCTTTTGTCCGGGTCTGTGAAAAAACGGGTGAGCTTTTGTCCGGCGAGCTTTTGTCCGGTTACCGTCTACGGTTGGCATTCTCAAAGCCTCGTTCACACCGCTAATACCTTACAAACGACAGTCTGTATAGACCTTTTTCGTGTACTCTCGTCCCAAGCCACCTAATAGGCGTATCCGGTATGGGCGACGAAAAAATAATCCAACGTTTCAACCTGCAAATAGTAAAAAAATAAAGGGGAGGCAAAACGAGAAAGTGTGACGGTTACGCTTATATCCTAAACGCCTTTATTAGCGTGGCAAAGGCAAAACAATGTTTTCGCCCATACTGGAAGTGACGTCAATTCAAGATGGCGGCGCACTTGCAAAAAAGGTCTATAGACATTGTCTATAGGCGAGTTGTTTTTCCCGGTCCTGGCTGTCCAATTATTCGTACAAAAACAACCCTCAATCATGTTCGAAGCCTATACACCGACCCAGTGATTCCAGGCGGTGACCGGACAAAAGCTCACCGGACAGAAGCTCACGGGACAAAAGCTCACCCGCTTTTTCACCGACCCGAACAAAAGCTCACCTATATATATATATATATATATATATATATATATATATATTTTTTTTTTTTTTTTTTTGTCAGGAGGAGGAATATACCGAGTGGGCTAACGCGTCTCAGCTCGGAGCGTGGAGCGAAAACTTGCGCTGGGAACCTCCTGGGCTCGATCCCCGCCGCCCCCGCCCGTTTCGATCTGGATGAGTTTCGTACCGGCACGCGTTCGTGTGATCACTACTGCGTGATGCACGTTAAAACCCCCAGGTTAGCGGTTGTACTGCACTGGCTAAATTTCTCATCTACAGCTAAGAGACCGATTACCCGTTGAGGCGCATCTCCATCAAGGCTGTATAAACATAAAGAGCAAAACCAATTTTTAAATATTTTGTTTTGGCTACAAGAGCGAAACACGGGTTGGGATAAAGTGCGGACGCGATGGACATCGCACCATTTTTAGCAGAACTGGTACCCCACCCCATGCAAAGGTGTCGACATATAAGCTGTAGCAGGCGGAGAAGCAACGATTTGGGAAAAAATTAGGTCACCAAAATTGAGTGGAGCTGATAAGATCAGGCTTGCTTGACTCAAGGTATACGCCGGAGCACCTTTGTGCCCGCTGCAGAAACTTCGTGAATCGAAGTTTTTAACCCGAACAGTGACCTAAGAAGTGAAGTCTCCCTCCGGTGACCTCGCTTTTTCATTGTGCATATATCACGCTAAATGCGCACATAAAGGTTAGGCAGAATGTCTCTTCATTACTAATGCATGGGTTTTTGGGGGGTTAAGGTTAATATTTGAAGGGAATAGCAAAGAAAATTATATTGTTTCTTTCATTGTGCGTCGTAAATATATCTTAAAGAAAGGGTTATCTCAAGGTGATGTGAAATGGAAACTTGAAGCAAAACTGTATTATACAAATCACTGAGTTGCGAATTTTTAAAAATATCTTAAAGGAACCGGAGTTGGGCCTTTTGGACAAGTACAAGACAGATGCACACTTTAGAAAGCTGTGCGGGATTTTGGATGGGTGGGCGTTCCTTCTGGGCGGCGGAGAAAAGCTCACCGGAGATAAGCTCACCGGAGAAAAGCTTACCGGAGATAAGCTCACCGGAGAAACGCTCAACGCAAAACCGGCAGATGCGGAGAAACGCTCACCGGCCTTTGAGCAGACGGAGAAAAGCTCACCAATTTTTTTTAACTTAAAAGATTTTGTGTCAGACATGGCAATTTAACACAATTCGCATTCGTCACTTCATTAAAAATATGTCCTCGTTTTTGTAATATTATTGAAGTTCATTGGGCATATTTACTAATTCATCAGAAATTTGTAATCACCCATTTTGTATATCAATGAAGCCGCAAATATAAAATCAGAGCATCGTACACCGGTAAAAAAAGAGAACGCTTTATAGACAGCTGATGGTGCGCCGTCGGTAGCTCTGTCAGATAAAGAGGTTTGTTCTTTGCGAGCTAATATGAATAGCGGTGTCTGAACCATTTCAGCTCCAAATATTGTGCAGTGCCTAATGGATGAGCAGGTGTTCGTTGATGCAATCAGTGTCGGCTACGCTGCTTTCTTTCTGTTAATTTCAGTAACAAAACTTTAGTTGCGAGAACAGCTTCGTCCTGTCGTGTTTGTTGTCTTCACTCCGTCGTCGTCGTTTGAGCGGTTTTCAGCATGCACGACCTTTACTAACTCGCCCTATTCGCTGTTTTACACAGGACCGCTTCTTATATAGGCCACGAGCAGGGATGGGCAGTATTCCAGATACAAGTATTTGAAATACGTATTTCAAATACTTTGTGTATTTTGCATTTGTATTTATTTACAAATTGGGTAATGTATTTGACGTGTGTATTTAAATACTAAAACGTGGGTATTTCAAATACAATTGTAATTAAATACAATTTTGTGGGCGAAAATACATCCCTCAAATTTATTGTCACTGTCCAGAGCAGGAAGAAAACTACGTTCTGCACCGAATGCAGCGTCTCTCAATCAAGCACAAGCGTTCAGGGACTTTGCGATTACGGTGCTAATCCAGGGCAAGAATAGTGACGAAATCGACGTTCACAGGCAGACTGGCTAAATAAGTGCCTGTGACAACTTGTGATGCTTTCCAGTCTGATTCCACCCATATTTTTGCCTGGAACATTCTAAATACTCGGGTCGTCGAGATTTTCGTAACTGCTGTGAGTTGCAACAATAAACAATTCTCTACGACAACTTTTCTTGGCAATGCAGTGGAAGGTACAAGCCCGCGTCCCCTCTCCCATTCTGAGTGTGCGCAGGCTCTCCTCCTCTCCCCGGAAATGGGGGAGGAGGAGAGCCTGCGTACACTCACAATGGGAGAGGGGACGCGGGCCTCTACCTTCCGCTGCATTGCCAAGAAAAGTTGTCGCCGAGTATAGTGCTGCGCGTCTTGGTCATCTCGGTTCTTTGTTGGCCTATACCAAAATGTAATCGACAAAAAAAGCTGCTTGAAGCTCTATACTTTTTTCATCTATTACGTCCAAGCTGATTACATTTTTTTGTGATTTTATTTCTATACGTTACTAGAGCCTCGCACACTAACTCCCGAGTGTGCGATGCAAAATTAAAATGAGATACCCAGAAACCCGTTGCGGGTGCCCTGAAGGCCCTGAAGTCGCGGACGCAAATTTTGAGGAATGTATTTGGGAAAGTATTTGGAGCAGACCAAATACATTTGGTTGTATTTGTATCTCGTACTTAAATGCTTTTTTTCTGGAAATTTAATTAGATTTGTCATTAAATACATTTTTGACGAAGTATTTTGTATTTCTATTTCGATACATATTTGCATGTATTTTGCCCATCCCTGGTCACGAGTAACAACGGTGCCAGTGCGCAGCTCTGAAGGTCATGGCTGGCTCGCCGTAGAAGGGCACTATCACACAACGGCAAAGTGTGGAAACACCAGCACGAACGCTAGAAAACGTTCATGTCCGTAAAAGAAAGAAGCCTCGATATTCTACTGACTGTTTTATCTTGTTTTCAAAGATTAACAAAAACCTCAGAAAGAATTTCAGGTACCGCGTTGTTGCGCATGCACTTTCGCATTTTCGGCATTTACAGTTCGGATTTTAAGGTTTTAGGCAGACATGATTAACTTTTCGAGCTTTTTCCTGTTCTTCAAGTTCATAAAGTTTCCAGTTAGGCATTCCAAGCTTAGAGAGTAAGCCACAGAAAACACTCACCCGCAATTATTGATTTGGGAGCAATATAACCAATAAGCTTAACAAATATTACAAAAAAGGACACTTTCTTTCTTACAAAGCCGGCGATTTTTAATGATAATAAATTGACATATGTTACGCGTGATGACAGCCTGTACATAAAAAGAAGAAAACAAATCGGTGAGCTTTTCTCCGCATACGCTCAATGGCCGGTGAGCTTTTCTCCGCATCCGCCGGTTTTGCGGTGAGCTTCTCTCCGGTGAGCTTCTCTCCGGTGAGCTTTTCTCCGGGATTCGTTCCTTCTACCAAAGCTTGTGTTCGAAGGACTAACCTACATCAGGGAAAAGTCAACAGGCGACATCGGCGACCTGCTGTGCTACTTGATTGCACGTATATGTCAACGGCCCCTTCCGTGCTCCTTCTGCGGCGGCACCCACAGCGAATTCTTCCCTTTGCCTGACAGTGCGCCGACGACGACCGGAGTTTCGCCCGGAACGGTGTAATATGTACGACGTCACTCTTCGGGATAAAGACTGGGCGAACAACACCTTCGAAGGATGGAATAATGGGCTCCAAAGCCTGTCGGCCACGCCCATCCAAGCGTCTTCAGGCTGACTGAATGCCTACAGCAAGATCAGGCGCTCGTTGCCACGGCATTGACACAAGCCTGGAGAAATGAGCCCCAGTAAAGCGGGTGCGAGAAACCACTCTGCGCCTGCAGAACCGCTGAAAATTATTTGCGAGGGGTTCGAGGTACACCCAGATCTACCAAGACAGCTGGAAGTAGTAGGGAACTGCGTATTCTTCCTACCAATCAATTAATAAACTTGTTTCCACTCTGATCAACAAACCATGCGTGTCTAGTGTCCTCCGATAGTCCTCGACATGTGTGTGCGTACCTTTCGTCACGATGACCACCGATCACGACATAGAACGCTTTCGTACCTTTGTTCAAAATTCTGTGTCACGTGTGTGTCGTGTGCTAAACAGCTTCGCTGGTCATTCACCTTCACAAAGTGGAATAGCTCACGAATTTTTTTTTTTAACGATGTCTTTGCAATGTGATTGTGGCAGCAGAAAGTGAAACCAAATATCGACGGTCATACGTAGCTTAAGAAGGGGAGGCCTCACCTTGTGATAGCGTCGGACTCAGCCTGGGTTCCCTGATTTTGGCGTCCCTCGCGCTGTATAGTAACCGCACGGTGTCCGCATAGTTGCGCTGAGCGCTGCTGGGTGTCAGCCGCGGTGGACGCGGCAGTTGCGTAGACACCGCCGATTCCTTCTCTTCGTTTGCCTGGGAAACAAAGACAAAGCGACAAACCGATATTACCATCCGGGCACTTAGAAACTAAAAAAAAAAAAAAAAAATTAAATAAACAATCTAGTTTTTTTAATTTTTTTTTTTTTTTTTGTAGTTTGGAAGCATTAAACTTCAGCACTTTGAGATCTCTGTGGCTTCGAGAGCTTTGTGGCTGTCGGAACCCCGTGAAACTTAACGAAACCGTGAATTCCAGCTATAAGAGCTTGACAACTTAATGACTTCGAGAGCTTTCGTACTTCGAGACGACTTGCACCAATAGCTCCATGACTTCGTACACGCGAATACCTAAAAAAAAAAAAAAAAAAAAATATGGGTGTGGTATTTTTCAAGACCCTAAAGCTTGCCTGTTCCAGAAAGACAAAAAAAAAAATTCCAATATGTCTGGTAATCCGATAATCTTCCGAGAGTAAATAGCTGAAAGATACCTAATGACTGTTATGACTAGTTTCAAAAGTTCGGGAATTGAGAGCTAAGGCATTTTAATGTTCTAAGTTGTCATAGGTTTATATGGGTCTCATTACTTCATCTGAGATTTCGGAAGCTTTTTGCCAGCAGAATCAAGCTTTGTCACTGCGAACATGAAAATAGATATGACGGACAATAACTGACTGAACGCTCTAAAACTCGAGAGTTTTATATAGCCCTCAGCTTTTATTTGTCTTCACTCTGAATATTTGGTGTTTACGGTACTCAAAGCTAAAGACGTACCAAAAGAAAAATGTTTATGTTCTCAAATCCGCTTGCTTACCCAAAGAAACTTCGAAGTGAAACGTGACTGCGAAATGACAACATTAAAAAAAAAAGGAAGTAAAATATTTTGTTTGTTCGTACCAGACTTAGGCATCAACCTGGTTCAGAACAGTTTCCAATTTAAAACTAGACCTTTAGCTACAGTCTTTCCTTCTGGTAACACATAAATATCACGTAACTAGCACAGGCAACATCAACATAGCTGGACCCAGACGTGCCCTACTTGCAACCCTGCGTGCGTTTTTTTTTTTCGTAACAGTTACTTTAAAACACATACACTACCGAAATCTATATACTCAGTATGGCTTCACGAAGTTGTAAATTTTATGAAACCTTCATCATAAGGACTACCGAAAAGTTCACACCTATGCTAGGTAAAAAACAGAAGAAGAAGGAGAAGAAAAGAAAAAAAGCCCAATTTCATACGTTATGTAAACACCCGCATTAGATGACTGTCAGAGGAATACACACACGCGTAAAATATTTATTTTCTCGTAGAACTGTTCTAAACAAGAAAAAGAAAGCAAGAAATCATCTAATAACGTAAGAAAAAAAAGAAAGTGAGGCTTCTATGCTTCGTGTACGTTCAACCATAACAAAATGCCAGAAGACTCCAGACTGCGAGCACGAACCGTGCAAAGTTCGCCGAATTGCTGTCGGGGAATGACGGAACGCAAATAAGCAACCAGAAAATAAGACGCGGGCGCTGAGAAAGACGGACCTATCGACATCCAAACTTAGATCCGCCGAATGTTTACAACTACAGCCGCGAAGCTTCCGAAGCTTTCAAGTATCTCCTCCGCGGGTTCTTTCCCCTGGGAGTAAACAGGACTCCCCGAGAGAGCGAAAGGGACTCCCCCGACACCCTTTTTGCGACTCTACTCCAGAAATATGTTTGATACCCCTATCTTTACGAACTCTCTTTTAACTCTCTTATTTCAACAGAAAGGGCCGCGAAAAGTCGGGTTGATTTACGGCAGTTTTCGTGCGTGTATACATACCTATACTCCGTTTCGCGTTATGGTGGTCCGCAGTAGGCGCTACGATCCAACGGTAGCCAATCCCTAGCTCAGAAGGTGTCACGTGTCATTCTGCTTGCAGCTCGTAGCGTCCACCGCGGTAAGAGAGTTGAGTCGGTTTATATCTGAAGCTGTCAAGTATCTCCTCCGAGGGTTCTCCATGGGTGTAAACAGGACTCCCCGAGAAAGAAAGGGAGTCTCCAAACACCTTTTTTTTTTCTCGACTCGTAAAAATATATTTGCTCCTTTTTTTTTTAACTCTCTTTTAACTTTCTTATTTCGGCGGGGGGACACGCAAACTGCTGGGTTGATTTAGTGCAGTTTTCGCGCGTATATAACTACCTACACACATCGAAGCAATACAGTCCAAGGAAAGCCGCTTTTGCAGAAATTTTGTAATCTCCGAGGGAGTCAAAAGCGACGTCTGGGAACGCACAAAAGACGGTCCGGGTAAGAGGAGAGTTATTCCTTCCGCTCTTCTTTAGGTGCTACGCTCTCACCTCCGTGCCTTTGGTAAGGGTTGTCACGTGATTCGACTCCGCCGCTCTGATTGGCTCCGGGGGCCGTAGCGTTCGCTCTTTGCCAAATTACGGCGAAACGAAGTATAGAAGAAGCGAGCGAGTTCGGATATCGCGAAATGACGAACGAGAAAGGACGGAAACAAGATGGATGGTTTTTTCCCTGTGCGAATGAGTGAGCATCTCCGTACTTTCACGTTCAAAGTAAGAGGAATCGTTCTGTGCGCATGTCGGAAATATTCTTTTCGCGTCTGGCATGACGACAAAAAAAGAAGAATGAACACGATTTTGTGTTTTTTTCGTGACAGTCGGAGTGGGATCGTTCTCGTTACCTTCGTTTATTCGAGTCTATCCTTTGTACGCGGTTATAAATGGTCTTCGTTTTAGACACGAAACTAAAGCTCGAAATTGTCATCCTACACTCTAAGAAAATAAAAAAAAGAGAAAAAAAAGTTTGCGGGCTTACGTTCCTGCAGAACACGGAGGCAGTCAAATCACGTCGAACGCTAGAAATGCACTCAGTTGAAATTCACATTTTAGCGCATTCAGCGGGAAAGCGCCGAGAGAGGGCGCGAAACGTTAATGTCCCAAAAAGTTGGGAAGGCGACTGAAACAAGAGTGCATATATTCATATTGTGCGCAGGGGCAATGAACATATAGCATTTCACTTGCTCGTTGTGCATATCGCTGTTTTCAGATACAATCGTACTCTGAGCTTCTTTTATTGGCCGTCCCCGTGCTCTAGGAGAAAGTGAACTTACGGACGCCTATTAGAGTGTAGACGTCTTTCCATCCTCACCCCCGAGGAAACCAGAGCGTCTACCGTAAACTCTTCCCAAAAAATAAAGTGCAGGGCCCCGCTTGCTCAAAAGCGCTCGCCTTACGGTATTGTGAGCTTGGCAGATCCCCCACTGTAGTCACTATACGATCACCGACAGCCTAAGAAACCGAGGGAGGATCCAGAATCACGAAGCAGAAAGCGTGGTCATGATTAGCCGCGCCGTTCGTTTCTTATAGAGGCACTTATGTGAATTCTGAGGCCGTCTATTTAGGGTGATTACTCAATCAACGGGCTCTAAGCGTCGTAAAAAAAAAAAAGATAAAAAAAGAAAACGAAATTACACTCATGGGCTGACGATTCCCCGACTAAAAGTCGAACCAAAGATCGTGACACGTCCCACTTTAAGCGTCAGGAGACACCAGGGGGCGCCGGTGGGTACGGCGTGTCTTACAAGATTCTCGATACAAAGAGATTGCGCCGCAGATATACATTATACCTACACGTACATACATTTCAAACAATAATTTTGTACTATGGCTCTATACACCCAAAGATTTGACGTTTTTGTCAAAATATATAATATTCAACGCGAATGAAAAGAGCACTAATCGTAACGTTCAAAATCTCCGCGCGATTAACTATTTTCAGAGGTCAAATCAAATTTTATGAAGATAATAAAAACCCAAGAACGAGCCCCCCCCCCATTTCCGCCCTCTTCCGTTTCAAGAGAAAAAAGCGCCCGTGTATTTCTATTCTATTTCTGATGCGAGTTTCCCATGCAGTCTTCGCATCTAAAACTGGTTATTTTTATAGACTAAAGCCCAGCAAACAATATGACATCAAAAACAAGCCGTCAAAGACCATAGTGTTCATGGCAATCAAAACACGTATGCGCCCGTACACAGTACATTCTAGAAAATACGGAACGTCTACTTTCCCGCAAAGCACCTGGGAGAGCCAATCGATGCAATCTATACTGAGAGAGATCAGCCAATGAGGAGGCTGAGCATATGTTGAGGCCTATGAAAAGTCTACGCTGAGGCACTGAGCATGAGGTAAAGGCTCTGTTATACTCCGACGTAACGCGTGCGCGCGCGCGAGCGCGTCACAGCGACGTCACGTCGGCGAAAACCCGACGCTCTATACTCCGGCGTCGTGGCGTAACCGACGCGACCGGCGGCGTTCGACGCCGTCTGACCGCCTCGACGCCAAAATGGAGCATGCTGTATTCCGCGCCGGCCGCGCCGGCGACGCCGGACCAGGATGCATCACGCGCTGGCTCCCGGCAGCCCTCGCGCGGGCAGCGCGGCGAATACGAGCAATAGCAGACGACGGGAGCACTACTGCGTGTGGCGCCATGTTCGAAGAATCCGACTCGGTCGTGGAGAAGCCCACCGAGGGAATTCGTCCTCACCCGTGTGTCTACGACACGAGGAAGCTTGAGTACCGTAGACCGTGCGCTTGTCAAAGATGTACCGTATGTACATTGACCGCCTACGCTTGCGGCGCAGGCGGTGCACCAACAGTGCAAGCGCGAGTTTTCGTCGGGCAAGGTACGTCCACGCCATCGCTCGAAAAGGAACCGGAAATGGCGCACTCTCGCAGGAAGTGCGCTCTCGTAGCCAGATTCTGCGCATGCGCCGCGCTGGCGACCCACCGACGCGCGCCGCGGGAGTCGCCAGGGCCGCCGGAGTCTAGAGAGGGCGAATTTTTGACGCGCGCGGCGTGACTGACGTGACGTAGCCGACTTCGGCCAGCGTTCGCTTGCGCGCGCGTTACGTCGGAGTATAACAGAGCCTTAAGTATGCGAAACGTCGTGCTCATTGCCTCAGTGTAGACTGTTCTTTTTTTTTTTTCTTTTTTAGGCCTGAACATATTTTTAGCCTCATCATTCGCCGAGCTCTCTCCGTATACAGATTACAGCGATTGGCTCTACCAAGTGCC